GTGGCACAAATAGCTTCTAGGGTGGAGGGTGACTATATCTTGGCATAGTTCTCCACTCAGAATTTCTTGATAAACTCCTGTCTACCCCATAATGGGTATAGCCTCGTGTATAATGGGGGTTAGAAGGTTTTCTTCTGAAATTATTTCCTTTTTGAGGTTTGTCCAGCTTCCTATAGTTCTTAGGAGGGACTACCTTTTTGGGAACTTCTGTTGGTTTTTCCTTTTCCTTCCCTTTCTGCTTATTTGGTTTAGTAGTAGGTTTAGGAGGAATGAAAGTTGTTTTCCCTTTCCTTTTAGAATTGGAGGGGTCAAACCCAAGTCCTTCACGACCCTTATGTTTGGTCGTTTCAAGAAGCTTATCCACTGCTTCTTTGGATGCTATTTATAGCTGGATTGGATATCTATCCGTTGAATCATAATAGACTATCCGTTGCACTTGCTGGCTTCAATTTTGAATGAAGATTGTGATTTGAAGATTCTTCGTTGAAGTGGGTGTTTGGATTTACCCAATTGTTGAGAAAGGATTCCCCAAAATCCGTCTTCTAGCCGTTGTTCAAGAATTCAAGACTATAGCACTTTACTCTGTTTGTCTTCTAGTGCTTGTTTAGGAATTCTGGGCAGGCTCTTTAATTTTAGAGACCCAGACTTTGTCTTCGAGTAATTTGTTCTTGAATTAGCCTAATTATCTTCAATCTAGCCGTTGAAAATCAAGAGATTGATTTTTCCTTGCCACGGGTAGAATTTCTTCATTCAGGACTTAGATGATTTTCTAAGCCTTTTCTCACTTGTCCGCTTTCTGAGAATTCCGGTCTTCGGTGAGTCTTCCGATTCTTAGCTTACAAATCCGGATGAGTCTTTTTCAGACTTCCGGGTGAGAAGGAGATCCGCGCTAGTCTTCCGATTTGAATGACTTAGCCTTCAGCGGGTTGTAGTGAGACATCCGGTTCTTATGTAGTCTTCCGGATCTGAGGATTTTTATCTGATTGAGAAATCTTTACTTGTCTCTGACACTTCCGATCAAGATATCCAATTTTCATATCACCGAATTTGATCAAGTCTTCAGGCATCAAAATGCTTAAAGAAATATCACAACCTTAATGGAAAACTCAAGAACTTGGTTTTAACAATATTTCTATAAAGAAAAATTACATTGAATATTGGGGGAGACCTAAAGTCCCTATTACATTCTAAATAAATCATCATCAAAATCTATAATATTTTTCCCAACAACAATGATGTTTGGGAATTGGTGCCTAGACCTAATGATCATTCTGTTATAGGCACAAAATGGGTGTTTCGTAACAAACTCGATGAAAAATGGAGTAATCACTAGAAACAAGGCTAGGCTTGTAGCTAAAGGCTACAATCAAGAAGAAGGCATTGATTATGAAGAAACCTATGCACCGGTTGCACGTTTAGAAGCTATTCGTTTATTACTCGCTTTTGCATCTACGATGGATTTCAAACTTTATCAAATGGATGTTAAAAGTGCCTTCCTTAATGGTATCATTCAAGAGGAAGTGTATGTCGAACAACCCCCGGGTTTCGAAGACTATGAGTTCCCCGAACATGTCTTCAAACTCAAAAAGGCGCTTTACGGTCTCAAACAAGCACCTCGTGCTTGGTATGAACGGTTAAGCAAATTTCTTTTGGACCATGAGTTCAAACGGGGTCAAGTCGACACTACTCTTTTCATCAAGAAAGATAACCAAGACATCCTTTTGGTTGAAGTTTACGTAGATGATATCATATTCGGTGCTACTAACGAGGTTTTGTGCAGGGATTTTTCCGATATGATGCAAAGTGAATTTGAAATGTCGATGATTGGAGAATTAAAGTTCTTCCTTGGGCTGCAAATCAAACAATGCAAAGAAGGGAGATTCGTGTGTCAAACGAAATATTGTAGGGAATTGCGTAACAGATTCGATGTTACCGAATCCAAATCCATTGACACACCAATGAGCACCTCTTGCTATCTCGACAAGGACGAAAAAGGTAAAGAGGTAGACATCAAACGCTACCGAGGTATGATCGGCTCTTTACTTTATCTTACCGCGAGTAGACCGGATATCATGTACTCCATTTGTATATGCACTAGGTAATAATCATGTCCTAAAGAGTCACACTTGGTTGCTATCAAAAGGATAATGCGATATCTCGCGGGCATGTTGAACGTAGGTGATAAGTCGGGTTTGGGTTAGTTCTTTTTATTCTTTTTTAGGCATTTTTTAAGATTTTTAGAGTTTAATTTTTAGTTGTTTAGCATAGTTTTATTTTAATTTCTATTTTTTACAATCTTTTAATTTTCTTTCAAAAATAGTAGTTTTTTGATCTTTTTTTTACATTCTATTATTTTTATTTTCCCTAACCCAAAATTATTAGATCTCTTATTTTTTGAAGAAAAATGTAGCAAAAAGGCCAAAATGAAGTTCAAGTTTGAAAAGAAGAGATCTAATTTGGGCCGGAGCCCAAATCATCATCAACAAAAGAAGGCCAGCCCATCATTCTCTTTCCCCAATTCAATCTCACGCACGCAAGAAAGGAAGAACCGGCGATATTCTTCTTCGTCAAATGGAAGAAAAAAACCAGCGTAACTCCTCCAACGTCTCTCCTTCTCCTACGCTCCTCATTCAATTTAGCAACGGAAATAATTTTTCAACGGGAAATAGCGCTCCTTGCTGCTATAAATGGGCGACATACATCAAGTGGCAAGAGGGGAAAACACGAGGAACATCAACGATTGAGAGCCGCGGCTTAGGCCGCGGCGGTGGTGATGACCGGCGAGTTAGTCCGGCGTCCGGCGGCAAAAGCTCCGGCAAGAGGTTTATCGGTTCCTTCAAGCTCCAATTCTTCAATTACTTCTTCTTCTTCAATAATTGGTAACCCTATATGTTATTTCTTCAATTTCTTCTCCAATTTCTTTGTAAAAGTGTTGTTTCAATTCAAATTTACATTTTTTTGCTTGTTGTGTTAATTTCGAAAATTCCAAAATGGTTGGTGTTCTTTTATGGGTTTTTTATGTTATATTAAATCCCTTATGAATGAAAATTGATTCTTACTAGTTTCTTCAATTTTTGCGCAAATTGATGTTAAATCGGATGAATTATAAATTTGATTTCATAAGTAGGTTGGTATGTCGAATTCGGTTATCATTGAAGCTAATTTAGCTCCATATTTTAGTTAAATGATTTTCGAATTTATACGTGACTCTTTTTTGTGACTTGTGTTTTGTAAAATTTTAAGGTAAATGAACTTCTTAGCCACATAAGTTGAACGTTTTCCTTAAGATTTGTTATAAAGTGATTGTTTATGTCTCGGTGTTGTAGTTTGTTATTTTCATAAAAATTGGGATTTTTTAAGCGCAATAAACAATTCTTGATTTAATGAAAATATGTAATGTTCTTTTATGTGAATAGATTACAATTCTTATGCTTGAGTAGTTCAAGGAGACCTGCAAAATATTTTCATCATTAGACGTTAAAGTTTATTAAAGTGTATCAAATGTTCTTCATGAATACTTTTTGCATGGGAGTTAGAATGAAAGAAAGATTCGCTCTTTTATAAACTTTTTCATCTTTTGGAATCATTGTTTGAGCGCTTGAGGTGAGTGTGTTGGAGTTGTGCCCTGATGGCCAACTGTTTATCATTATTCTATCATCTATAGGCAGATATAATATGTTTACACATCTCATGCTAATGTAAACAAATATTATATTCCTAGATTTATATTTAAAGATGTTTATCAGATAGTGTTATTCTGCTGATGAGACTAACATCTTGAAATAAATATTTATCTGAATGTCCATAGTCGAGTATTAACGAGAGTGGGATATCGTTAATGCATGTGAGACTAGTGTGTGTTGGATGTTTGACTTAGTCTCATAGTCAATGACAGTGTGTTCGCATCCGCACATGGGCAGATATTATCTAGAGATAATAGGATGCCGGACTGACCCATCCTAAAGATGTTGCTTGAACTTTTAGTTCATGCTCTAAATATCTTTAGCGCGACCACGGGTGTAACTATCCTTCGACTTGAAGTATTACGTTAATGGGAACCTCAAAGAGGATGTCTTCATGACATAGCTTGACGGTTTTCATATTACTGGTCAGTCTGCCAAAGTTTGTAAACTGCAACGATCAATCTATGGATTAAAACAAGCATCTCGGAGTTGGTACATATGTTTCGATGAAACCATTTCCAGTTTTGGTTTCGAGAAGAACTCTGATGAATCTTGTGTATACAAGAAGGTCAGTGGGAGTGTAATAGTATTCCTAATATTATATGTCGACGACATATTGTTAATGGGTAACGATATTCCCGCTCTCACTTCTGTAAAGACGTGGTTGAGCGGGAACTTCTCCATGAAAGACTTAGGGGATGCTAGTTATATCCTTGGCATAAGAATCTACCGAGATAGATCAAGAAAGTTAATAGGTCTGAATCAAAGTACATATATAGATAAAATCCTTGATCGATTAAGCATGTGTAACTCAAAGAAAGGATCTTTACCTATGACACCTGGCACGGTTCTTTCCAAGAAGCAGAGTCCTTCTACTCCTGAGCAGAAGGAACTCATGATGAAGGTTCCATACGCCTCTGCGATTGGATCCATCATGTATGCCATGATATGTACTAGACCTGATGTCTCATTCGCTTTAAGCGTGACCAGCAGATACCAGGGAAGTCCAAGAGAAGCACACTGGACAGCGGTCAAGAACATCCTCAAGTATCTTCGCAATACTAAGGATGCATTCCTGGTATACGGTGGTGAGGAAGAGCTAAAGGTGGTCGGTTACACTGATCCTAGCTTCCAAACCGACAGAGACGATTCAAAATCACAAGCAGGATATTTGTTTTGCATGAATGGCGGAGCTTTTAGTTGGAAGAGCTTTAAGGAGGATACAACCGCCGATTGGACTACAGAGGCTGAGTACATAGCTGCCGCCGAGGCAGCAAAAGAAGCTGTTTGGATCAAGAAGTCCATTACTGAACTTGGAGTGGTTCCTAGTATTAATGACCCTATCTCGTTGTTTTGCGACAACACTGGGGCCATTGCACAGGCAAAGGAACCGCGATCTCACCAGAAAACCAAACACATTGTACGACGCTATCACATCATACGAGAAATCGTAGATAGAGGATATGTGATGATTTGCAAAGTAGATACTGACGACAACATAGCCGATCCCTTGACCAAGCCTTTAGGAAAGCTAAAGCATGAGGGTCACACTAGGTCCATGGGCATTCGACCGATTCCAGATTGGCCATAGTGCAAGTGGGAGATTGTTGGAGTTGTGCCCTGATGGCCAACTGTTTATCATTATTCTATCATCTATAGGCAGATATAATATGTTTACATATCTCAAGCTAATGTAAACAAATATTATATTCCTAGATTTATATTTAAAGATGTTTATCAGATAGTGTTATTCTGCTGATGAGACTAACATCTTGATATAAATATTTATCTGAATGTCCATAGTCGAGTATTAACGAGAGTGGGATATCGTTAATGCATGTGAGACTAGTGTGTGTTGGATGTTTGACTTAGTCTCATAGTCAATGACAGTGTGTTCGCATCCGCACATGGGCAGATATTATCTAGAGATAATAGGATGCCGGACTGACCCATCCTAAAGATGTTGCTTGAACTTTTAGTTCATGCTCTAA